CCAGTGCGCTCACCACACACCAGCTACAGGTGGAGAGGAGAGAGAGAGATAGAGCCAATCAAGTGGTAGGGAATTATTAGGAGGCCATGATTGACAAAGGCCAGGGGGGCAATTTGGCCAGGACACCGGGGTTACACCCATACTCTTTTATGAGAAGTGCCATGGGATTTTTAATGACCACAGAGAGATCTTGTCCAAAAGACAAAAATAAAATTGTTTTTAAAAAAAATTCTTTCTTTTTTTTTTTTTTTTTACATTTAAGATGTGACTTTGTCCTAAATATGAATTAAATTTAAAACTATTACTGTAGAACAAAAGTTAAAAAGTTGCTTATTAAAGGTGCTCATCTAGCTGCACCTTCCACACATCATTTGCTTTATAGGCCTACTAGAAATTCTGTCATTGTCTTCTCACCCTCACTGTCACTCAAAAACTTCACAGATCCCATGGACTCCATGGAGTTATTATTAAAATGTCAAAGCTGCTCTTTTTCATACAACAAGAATACAGTACATGGTGATTTGTCAAGTTCAAGTTGCAATTGTGCTTGGATTATTAAAAAAAGTTATATATTAGGTTGGGATTTGAACTTTGGAACACTAAATGAAAACTGTACCACGAGACTAACATGTTTCACACATATATTGAATTTAAGACACATATATATTTCTTTTCTCGCCTAGGGCACCAAGTAAAGCAGGACTGCCACTGTGCCTCCTAAATAAGTGCCTTCTCCAGAGATGCTTGGCCGACAAAAACCAAAATATCCCATAATGCCTCCAGCCATATAGTTATATATATAATTCTAGCACCATAGCAGAAAAGAAACTCATTTAGCCAACTAATCAATCGCTATGTAGAAGAAAATAAATATTTAAAAAAATGAAATTATATATATGTGTGTGTGTGTGTGTGTGTGTGTGTGTGTGTGTGTAACGGAGGCCAGCGAGTAGGTGCTGTGCAGGTTAGTGCGTCCACCTCCCTAGCCGGAGACCCGGGTTATATATATATACAGTATATATATATATATATATATATATATATTATATGGCTGGCTTCCCCATGAGAAACAGAGTCATCACATGACCCCTGCAGAAAGCATAAGATACATTTGTCAACTCATCACACTTGTATCAGTGCTGCTGAGGCTGCAAGAGATTCAGTTACCTTGAGCAAAATAAGGTAACAAGAGGACAAGTGCACAAGCTAGTATGTGACCTTAATTTTATGCCCGCTCCACTCTTGTAATGTAAACTCATACCAAGGAGGTTTATAAAACTTTGCATTCCCATTCCCATGGCAGTTCCAATTATTCTTAGCTGTTAAAAAAGAAAGCAAATCAGAATAGACAGCTACTTTTAAATGGCCATCAAAGGAGAAAGAAGCCCCCCCCCCCAAACTTGATGTGGCTAAATGAACCACACTAACCAGCCAAACTATGAACTCTTTCGAATCCCTAGATCAAATGGTAACGAAGCACCATGCTTGTCACCTAAAATACGTGATTTTCTTAGAAAATTCAGCTGCCTGGGCTCAAAGCAAAACAAAGTCTGGTAGAATCTTTTGAAGTGCTACTTTCATGTCGAAAACAAAATGCAGCTGTGATTCTTTTCATTAATTATTAGACTTGAATTTTGTTGCAACTCTTTTTGAAAAAAAAAAAAAAAACCTCGAGTGGAGGGGGACAACCATCTGTTTCCCGTGGTTCAGGACCCGCCGCTGCTGAGGCACGGAGGAGAATGAGCTCGTGGGGATCTCAGGTGGACCTAGCCGATGAGGCTGAAGGGGGCGTTTCCCTCTTCCGCGCATCGGTGTCGGGCGAGAGACAGCAGCTGGACGATGATATCCTCTCTCTAATATCATCTGATCCAGGGGCCGGTGCTCAGTTGGGCCCAGCCCAACAAGAGCAGGAAATGGATGTGGAGAGTGAAGAAGCTGAGGCTGAGCTTTCCCAATCCACCTGCCCTGGGTGGTCATGTGTAAAAATAACCTTAGAGAATGTATAAAGGTACCTGCAGCGGAATGATCCGGTCATAAGAGCCTCGGAGCAGAGCTCCAGCACAGAAGTCATGGGGTGTTGCCCGGGACCTGTACGTTTCTGTCCCTTGCTAGACGCCCTCGGTGAGGTGC